TTTTTTTTTGGACCATTTCTCTATTTATGCGTGTCATCCTTGCGCAGGATCCAGCGGCCTAGCTCAGTTGGTAAGGCACGCAAGTGGCATTCAGGAGGTCTTGGATTCAATCCCCATTGGCCTCATGTACCCAGCTTGGCGCCCGCCACCTAGAGATATGCCGTTGGTCCCCCGAGTGGCATTGAGCAGAGACTGCTGATGTTCGTAGGGGGAGGGGACCCGAGGGGAGGCACAGTGACTGGCCCATCGAAGAAGCTCTGTCCTGATGCTACCGGCTGACCCCTGGACGGTATCGCCCACCTGCTGTAGCAGGTGCAGGTGGGTGCAGCTCCCGCATGTTCCCTCGTTGGAGGCTTGAGCACGGATGTGGCTGCTACGGGGTTCCCCGTAATACTATAATAATGACAATAAAAAAGGCTTGAAAAATGCAGTCCGGTCCAGATTGGACAGGTAATTGAATTGGTTGGAATTAGCCTTAAAAAAATATAAAAATAAAAATAAAAAATCTTCTCTGTACCGTTCCAGTTGTAACGGATGTCCCGAAGGACACGGGGGGACTTTCCCGCCCCCCCAAACAACAAAACTAGGGGAAGGTGCTTTTTTTTTTTTTTTCGGGGGGGGGGGAGGTGGTCGTATAACCCGACCGCCCTAATAGACGGCGACCAATTAGAAAAAAAGAACGGAAAAAATCGTTAAGCGCTGGGGGCAGATGGCGTGACGCTGCCTTTGGAGTGCGTCGCAGCTACCCGGCTTCCACTGCAAAACACATTCTATTTTTGACCTCGACCACAACCCTCTTCCCCTGAATTTCTCTTTTTCTTTTTTTTTTTTTGGGAATCTCTCCCCTTGAATAGAGCGCACGGGCATCATAGTAGACTTTTTTTTTCCCCCCCAATATAATAAAAAATAGTAGCTATTGTAGGCTTGTAGCTGTATTCAGCCCTTCTTTCAGACTACATACGGCCATAATAGGTTAGGTTTTTTTTTCTGTTTTTCTTTTTTTTTTTAAGCTATGTTCTTCTCTCAATTTTACCTCACACTACCTACCTACCACTACTCCTAATTGTAGGCATACAATTAGGCATACAGGGAACCCCGTAGCAGCCAGAACCGTGTTCACGAGAGAACCTACCTGCAGGTGGGCTATACCTGCAGGTGGGCGATACCGGCGACGTAGGGGACAGCCCGTAGAATCAGGAACCATCCCAACAGGACCAATCCCTGTGCCTCCCCTCAGGTGGTGGTCCCTCCCCTCAGGATCAGGAACCATACCAACAGGACCAATCCCTGTGCCTCCCCTCAGGTGGTGGTCCGCCCCCCTCCCCCTTCCTTACGAACATCAGCAGACTCAGGTGGTGGTCCCCTCCCCTCAACGCCGATCGGGGGATCCAGTGGTCTATCTCTAGGTGGCAGGCGCCAAGCATGCCCAGGAAGGTACATGAGGCCCATGGGGATTGAACCCAAGACCTCCTGAATGCCATACCGACTGAGTTAGGCCTTCGGATGTGATAATCGGTTTTTTTTGTTTTTTTTTTGGCCTTAATAGGCTCAGCAAGTGCTTTCTTTGTAAAAAAAAAAAAAAAAGTTGCCTCCTGGGGCGTGGTCCCACTAGCAAAGAAGATCGGATAGAATGCCTGAATCTGGACGATATGCTGGAGGGGTGCAGGAAATCGAGATTGAACTGCTTCTCTGCATCGCTGCATAAAACACATCCAGATTCAGGAGCTTGATCCTATCCTCTTTGCTAGGGGGACCTCGACCCTGTTCGGGGAAGACGGCAGGAGTCTACCAGGAAGTTGCTCAAGCTACCTGCTAGGAAGTGCGGAGACACGCTCCCCGATCTCGCTTTTTTTCCCTTTACTTTTTTTTTTCTTTGGCACCCTCTCTCTCTCTCTCTCACACACAGACACACACACACACAAAATAAAAATAAAAAAATAAAAATAAAAGGAAACTCTAAACAATGATGGGATAGTCAGACAAGCACCATCCAAATGCATCTGACTGTAATTACGGCCAAAAACCTAAAGGACCCAGAGACTGGAATGGCCTCCAGAGTTCGAAGAAAAAGACTCTTAATTTGAGTAATGCCCTAGATTAAGTCCAAGCATGAGGCCACCTGCGCCATCTGCAGCCATTACCGTGGTGGCTCCGCACATAAAAAAAGCACTTTCGGCCCTTCCGGCATTGCGGACTCACAACACATGCGAGGGTGTGCCAGGGAAGGACTTAGGCGGCATGCTAATCAATCTACCATGACAGAGAGGAGGATGTGGCAGGAAAGGACTTCTGCCGCTTCTGCGGCATGCTAATCAATCTCCCACGATCGTAACATAGTCGTATCCCCGATCGAATGATGCAGTGAGCGTATACACATGTCAGTATGGGGTGAGCGTGGTACGGGAGGTGCACCAGGGGCACAGGTGTCACATACAGGGGCACAGGTCTCACGTACGCAGGGGCACAGGTGTCACATACACACCTTGCTCGTTCTAGGCCKTKGATCTTCTGCCACATCYGCGGTTGTAGACGAAAGATCCATCGGATTCCWCTGGCATGGTAACYGGAGGCTAACGGGAGGGAAATCGAGGTTAAMGAGAGGGTTAACGGAAGGGTAAACGGAGGCTAACGGCMTMGTAGGACTGTAGGAGAAGTTTTGCGGCCTGCTTGAGACATCCATCGTCTCTAGGCTATAGATTAAAAAGAAAAGAACAGAAAAAGAAAGATGCACATCAGACGATTGCTGCGTCCTATAACGACGACGCAGCAGCACGCG